AGGTGTTCAGGTGCACAGGAGGTGTTCAGGTGCACAGGAGGTGTTCAGGTGCATAGGAGGTGTTCAGGTGCACAGGAGGTGTTCAGGTGCACACACAAGGGTGGGTTTCTGCCTGCTTTCATGTTCCACTGAATTTGGTTACTTTTTTTTCTTTTATTTCCTTTTCTTTTTATTTATTTATTTATTCATTCATTCATTCATTTAGTCACTCATTCATTTATTATTTATTTATTATTTATTCATTCGTTCATTTATTTATTTATCTAATATTTATTTATTCATTCATTCATTCATTTATTTATTTATTTATTGAGACAGGGTTTCTCCTTGTAGTCTTGGCTGTCCTGGAACTCCTTAGACCAGTCTGCCCTTGAACTCAGAATCTGCCTGCCTCTGCCTCCCCAATGTTGGGATTAAAGGCGTGTGCACTACTGCCCCAGCTTTGGCTACTTTTTTTTTTTTTTAATCATTTACTTTAAGTCAGTGTGTTTTTTAAAACTAAGATTAATTTCCTTTCAAGAACAGAAAGATAGGTTTCGTTTCTTAGTCCATTTAGCCTGTTTTGTGATGGGAAGGTCTATTGATATTTAACGTTATTATTGCAGAGTGTGCATGGTTGTGGCCCTTTTGTTGTTGGGCTGTTTGTGTTTGTGTTTGTTGTTTGCATTCATACTTTGAGTGTGAGTAATTCGACCTCCCTTGTTTCCTTTCTACAGTCTCGTGGCTGTGTTTGTCCACTCTCCAGTCTAAAGTATTGCTGCTAGGCTCTCTTTGGGGCTGGTGTGATTGACATGAATTCTGTTAACCTATTTGTATCCCGCAAAGTTTTCTTTTCTCCTTTTAGTTGCTGAGCATAGTAGTCTAGGTTGGGATATCTGGTCTCATGGAACTTGGAGTGAAATATCCCAGGATCTTACAGATTTCAAAAAATTTCTGAAACTTAATGAACTTAACGTAGTCCTATGATGAAAATGTATATCTTTAAGAGTATTTGTTAAAAATCATAAAGAACACAAATAAATGACTTCATGATACCTCAAGAATTGTGCAAAAGAGCAACAAACCAAACACAAGTCCAGTAGACAAAAATGATAAAAATCAGCATGAAGTGGTGAAGTAGAAACCAAGAAAACTATCAAAACAACCAATGAAACTCAGAGCTTGTTCTTTGGGGAGAAGGCAGACAGACTGTTGGCTCCACCAACTAAAAGGAAGAACTAGTGAAGAGGACCAGGGATAAACAGGGCCACACTACAGCGGACACCAAAGCAACCCAGCATTCTAAGGGAGCACTCAGAACCTTTCCTCCATTCCACTGGAAAATAGAAAAGAAATGCTCACGTCTAGATTCCTCCAAACCATGTATTCCAGACTAAGAGGAGGTCAGCAGCCTGAGCAGACCCTACAAATGAGGGGACTGAAGCAATAATTCAAAGCCTTCTCTCTCACACACACAAAAACCAACAACCCTCTCCCCACCAAAAAGTAAGAAAGAAAGAAAGAAAAACAATCCCAGATGGACTCACTCAAGAATTCTAACACGCTTTTAAAAGAATATCTACAGCCAGTACTTCTTAAAACATTAAAAAGGAAAAGAAGAAAGGAAGAAAAAGAAAAGAAAGAAAGGGAAGTACTTTCAAACTCCTATAAATTCAGTATTACTACTGAACTCCGTGCCTACTAGGAAATTCAGACAGCGTCTGTACCAGAATCTGCATTTTCATTTTATTTCACATTTATTCTGTGTGTTACCTGCTGAGAAGTAACTTCTCACACACTATGACTTTCTCCTGTGAGAAATGTGTAAAAAGTGTGATGCATATTACAAGTGTGTGTATGATTTTTATCCCCTACTAGATATATTCATTTGACATTAACATTCTTAATTGTATGATAGCCATATGCACTTATAGGACCTTTTACCATTCATTCTCTTTAGATGGGTAGTTTGTGAGATCATATGACTATATCAAAAATAAGTTAGTAATATCATTTACCCATATCAGAAGCATTTCTAGCTCTGTTTTTCCCTTAGGTAAACTTTAGAATGGTGTTCACAAGCACATAATGCCTATTGGCATTTATATTACTATTAATGGTTTTAATTAGCTTAACTAATGGTTTTAATTAGTTTAATGTGTGATATTTATTCACTGATCTTTATTTCAGAACATGCTGTCATTCAAGGATGTGGCCATTAATTTCTCTGCAGAGGAGTATGAATGCCTGGACTCTGCTCAGTGGAATCTGTACAGGGATGTGATGCTCGAGAATTACAGCAACCTTGTGTTCCTGGGTGAGGGTCATGTCCATAGTGAATTCCTAATTCACTATTAGCATGTAACCTCCTTTTATAGACCATCTCATGGGAGCTTGCACTTTCTAACATGGTCCATATAGGCCTGCTCTTTTGTTTGTTTTGAGACAGGGCTTCTGTGGCTATCCTGTAACACACTCAGTAGACCAGTCAAGCTAGCCTTGAACTCAGAGATCTGCCTCTTGCCTCCCAAGTGCTGGGGTTAAAGGCATGAGCCACCATGCCCAGCTCACAGCACCACTTTTCAGGCAAAATTGTTGATATAACTAAGACAAATTTCATTTAATTTCTTCTTGTGCTTTTCATCTATTTATTTGAGTGCGTGCATTCTTCACTGTAGTTATAATGTCAGAAATTAAATGGAGTGAGGCATGGAACACACATGGAAAAGAAAATGTTTTATTCTTTTCTGATGTTAAAATTTTCCTTGTAAATGACAGAAATGAAGATCTGTGATTATAAATCCCTCCTAAGGAAGTATTCTAAAATGCCTATCAGGAACAATTTGAAAAGCTAATTTTCTAGTCATTTATTTACTTATTTATTTATAATTTTTTGAGATTTATTTATTTTTTATGTATATTGTGCTCTATCTGTATGCACACCTCCATGTCAGAAGAGGGCATCAGATTCTATTATAGATGGCTGTGAGTCACCATGTGGTTGCTGGGAATTGAACTCAGGACCTCTGGAAGAGCTGCCAATGCTCTTAACCACTGAACTATCTCTCTAGCTGCCTCTACAGTCATTCATTGTATCCTTTTTTTCTTCCTTATAAGCGTAATAATGGAATACAAATGTTAATTCTCTTCTTTGTCCCTTCACACAGGCCTTTCTTTCTCCAAGCCATTACTGGTCAGATTTCTGGAGAAAAACCAAGAGCTTCGGAAGAGTCAAGCAGCAGCTGTGCGCCAAGGTGTGTAGGAATGAGGGGTCGGAGGGCAGGGTCAGGGGTCAGATCCAACAGAAAGCCAGGCTTTACCATGTACATTGAGCTGGCATTTTCCGTTTGCTGGTAGAAATAAGTTTGTAGCTCTCCCTCTTTATGGCTTCTGTTGTCCGAGAAGGGCGTCTCTCAGCTGATTATAGTGCTTCAAGTCTCTAAGCGTGGAGCTCTGCTTATATTTTTAGTGATTGCCAAAGTACTTCATTTTGGTGAGAATCTACATTGCAGTAGACTTTTCACTATTTCCTACACCTCTGAAAAATTGCACACATTTCTAAAGATATACCTGTGAAGTCTTTGTATTCAGTAACTCATAAATACACTTAAAGATTATTTTTTTTTTGAGATTATATCATTTCCTTCCTTTCCTTCTTTCCAAACCCTCCCATATACTCCCCCTTGCTCTCTTTCAAATTCATGGCCTCCTTTTTAATTATTTGTTGTTAAATGAGTGTCTGTCTGTATACTTATATTCCTAAATACACCGCCCAGTCTGTATAATGTTACTCATATGTATGTTTTCAGGACTGAACATATTGGATAACCAATTGGTATGCTCTTCCCTGAGGAAGACTATTTCTCCTTCTCTCCACATTTCTTGGTTGCCTGTAGTTCTTTGTGCAGGGTTAAGGCCTTGTGGGCTTGCCCTGTCCACTGTGGTATGTGTGTTTGCTGTCCGTCTAGCTCTTTTTCAGGGAGTCAAGTTGGTGAGACATTAAGTGTAGTTTCTCACATCACTAGGAGACACTATCCCACAGTACACTTCCTGGTCCTCTGACTCTTCCCGATTGTTTCAGGCCCTCTTCCACAGTGGTCCCTGAGCCGTAGGTGCAGGAGTTGTTTTGGAGATGTGTGATGAACTAGGCTCCACAGCTGTACATTTTGATTATTTGAGGTTTCCTATAATGGTTTTTTGTGTATTGCAAAGAGAAGTGCCCTTGATGAGGGATAAGGACCGCACTTCCCTGGGGGTGTGAGGACAAACATTTAGAATGCAGTGTTAGAGATTATGCTAGTTTAGAAGAGTGGTGGCCGTAGGTTCTTCTTCAAGATCCATGATTTCATTAACCCTGGATAGTTGGCTACGTTTCCCATACCAGGCATGATTTCTCTCTTATTGAGTGAGTCTTAAATTAGAGAGCTGTTGGTTACCACAGAGGTATGCTTGGCAATACTGAACCCTTAGGGTTGTTGTGCCATGCTGGTCATTGTTGGGGTTCATAGGCATCAGGACTGGGTAGGACTTTTGGTTGCTCCCCTTCTTTGGATGCTTGCATGGTGCCATCTGTTACCATGAAAATTAGTCCTCAAGGAGGAAGCATCCAGGTCTTTTCCGGCTCTCAGGACTCTGGACCCTGTGTTTTAAATGCATGCTGTTTTCAGCAATAGGAACTCACCAAGCAACCAAAGGCGTTAATAATAGTCTGCAATGTTGTGGGAGTCTCTTGGACAACCCTGACTAACTACTCAAAAGAAGCTTTCTCGTGCCTGGTGTTCAGGTTCTTTTTTTTTTTTTTTTCAGATGGTCTTTGCTCTTGGAGGGAGCATTGTCAGCTCAGATGGGAAAACTTCACTGAAATTTTATATGTATATTTATACCCAGATTTCCATGTATTACAATACATATAGTTTTAGGTAGATACTTAATAGTATGAGTCCTTATAACTTTTTAAGATAACCTTACTGTTATTTTTCCTCTTCCCTCCTTCTGTATTATCTCCCTCTCTGATTACAATTCCCCCTTCTGTCCTGTCATGTTTCTTTTTTTCTTTGATTTATTGATTTACTTATTTAGAGACAGGGCTTCTCTGTGTAGTCCTGGCTGCCCTGGATCTTACTTTGTAGGCCAGGTTCACCTTAGACTTACAGAGATCCACTTGCCTCTGCCTCCCAAGTTCTGGAATTAAAGGCATGTACCACCATGTCCAGCTCTGTCACAATTCTTTATATCATGTTAATTAAATTGCCTTATCAGAGTGCTATCTGAATCATTGTATTCATCTTCATGTTTTCTCCCAAACAGTGTGAGTGATTTAACATGCATGCCCTTTGTGGGTAGATAGTCATGTGTGAAAACTGTACAAGTTGTTAAGCATTTTGGGGATTTGAGGTTCTTTGTTCTTCATTTTGCAGTTCCATTTTCTCTATTCTAATTTTGCCGTCTAAGCTGCCTGAAATCACCTGTTTGCATGTACTCCATGCCTAAACATTTATGAAAAATCTATATTAAAGTATCTATTTCTGTGACAAACAGAATTGTATACTTCCACTTACACCTGTAAACATGGCCCTCATATTTTCATGACTTGTCTCTCTTTATTAGTTACTCAGTGGCTCTTTCTCTTGTAAATAAATAGTTCTTTTTTAAAAAAAAATTTACCCATAGGCAATTTTATATATGCCTACAATGTATCTTTTTTTGATTTATTATGTATACAGTATTCTGTCTGCATGTATCCCTGCAGGCCAGAAGAGGGCGCCAGATCTCATTACAGATGGTTGTGAGCCACCATGTGGTTGCTGGGATTGAACTCAGGACCTCTGGAAGAGCAGTCAGTGTTCTTAACCTCTGAGCCATCTCCCCAGCCCAATAAATAGTTCTTTAAAATGTGTTAATTGACATGTGTGTTGTTAGCAAAATTTGACATTTTTCCTAATATTATCTTTCTGATATTTATACTCTTGTCATTAAAATATAATATAAAGCCTACTAAATAAATTGATGGAAGATATTATTTAATGGTGTTATGAACAGTCTATGAAAAGTTGTCTGGTTATGCAGCCTATGTTTTCTATGTTCCACAACTAAAACTTCATGCTTAGGATAAAACATTATCTGTTTCCACGTCTACCCAGTTTGGCACAATCGTCATTAACTTCCTGTTTTCCGCGTTTGGCTACTTCATAATTTTCTGTGTATACACTCACATAGTTTCTCTGTTTGTTTAATGGACTTCTTTCTGTTAGCATAATGCTTGAAAAGTTTCCATTACCACCCATGTTACAACTTTGGGAGCTATTTAAATTTGAATTATGTTCCATTATTCCTATATTCTATTTTATTTTTTTCTTCCTATTTCAATTGAAGTTGAAATGATTTCCACATACAGTGGAAATTTTAGGTGTTGAACATGTTATAGTTTCTTATTTATCCATGGAAATGAGTTATAGTCTCCATGTTAAATATAAACATTATAAATATGACAAATGTTCCTAAGCTTTTCTTCATTTCCTTTTACTCACCAGGAAAGAAACCTTATAAATGTAAAGAATGTGGCAAAGCCTTCGCTAAGAACTCATTTCTTACTTATCATCTGAGAATTCATACCGGAGAGAAACCCTACAAGTGTGATAAATGTGGCAAGGCCTTTTCAAAGCTTTTCATACTTACTAACCACCAGAAAGTTCACACTGGAGAGAAACCCTACAAGTGTGAAGTATGTGGCAAGGCCTTTACTGTGCTTTCCACACTTATTAACCACCGTACTGTGCATACTGGAGAGAAACCCTACAAGTGTGATGTATGTGGCAAGGCCTTTTCTTTGGCTTCCACACTTATTAACCACCAGAAAATTCACACTGGAGAGAAACCCTATGAGTGTGAAGTATGTGGCAAAAAGTTTTCCAGTCCTGCAGACTTTAAAAAACACCAAAGAGTTCATACTGGAGAGAAACCTTACAAGTGTAAAGAATGTGAAAAACCCTTTAGTAGTCTTTCAGACCTTAGTAAACACAAAGTTGTTCATACTGGAGAGAAGCGTTACATCTGTGAAAAATGTGGGAAAGCCTATAGTAGGAGACACCACCTTAATCGACACAAGCAGGCTCACACTGGACAGAAATCCTATAAGTGCACAGAATGTGGCAAAATGTTTTACTATGCTTCAGGCCTTAAAAGACATCAAAGAATTCATTCTGAGGAGAGACCCTATGAGTGTGAGGAATGTGGCAAATCCTTTCCCTGTCCTTCAGATGTTACTCAACATGCGAGAACCCATAAGAGACTGAAGCAATACACCTGCGAAAAATGTGGTGAGTGCTTTACTATTCAAACAACGTTTTCCAATCTCCGTAAAATTCGTCTTGAGGGAAAACCATCTGAATGTGAAAGATGTCGAAAGAGCTTTTAAAGGCTTTTAGTAAAACACACAAAGTGTTCAGACAACTAGCCTGCCAATGTGAAAGATGTCGAAAGAGCTTTTAAAGGCTCTTAGTAAAACACACAAAGTGTTCAGACAACTAGCCTGCCAATGTGAAAGATGTCGCAACGGTTTTGTGTGTCTTTTAGTTGTTGCTCAACCTCACACAATTCACACCTGAGAGAAGCCCTGCATGTGTGCAGGAAAGGGACCAGAGTTTAGCTGTTCCTGTGTCTGGTGTATAAGCATCGGCAAATCCATTCCAATGAGGGAGCCCACAAAAGCAATCAATTTGGCAAGTCCTTTACCTGCTCTTTGCACCTTAAGTATCGCCCCTTCATGCTGCAGAGGCACTCTCCATGTACAAGCATTGTGCCAAAGCCTTGACTAATACTTCATCTTCATCACCACCAAAGAACTGACATAGGTGAGAAACTCTGCAGATGTCCTTGTTAGCTTCAAGTGTCAACTTCACATAGCCCTATCATTATCTGAGGGACTTTCAACTAGGTATTTGACTCAATTGGATTAGCCTATAGGCATGTCTTTGGGGACATTTTCTTGATTTTTAAGTGATGTACATTAGTCTATCCAAGGATAAGGAGTGCCACCCCAGGGCAGATGTTCAAAGCTATATAAAAATTCTTGGTGAGCGCAAGCATGATGGAGCAAGGAAGTAGCTGTTTTCTATGGCAGTGATTTTCAATCTTCCTAGACTGTGACCCTTTAATACAGTTCCATAAACGTATTTCATTGCTACTTTGTAACTGTAATTTTGCTAGTTATGCTTTGTAATGTAAATATCTGATATGCAGATGGTCTCAGGTGACCCCTGTGAAAGGATGGTCTGACCCTACAGGTTGAGAACAGCTTCTCTGGTTTCTGCTTTAGTTGCTGCTCTGACTTCCCTGGATGATGAACTATAACCTTTAAGGTGAAACAGAGCTCTCTTCCCCTAAGTTGTTGGTGGTCATGGCATTTGCCATGGGAAGAGAAATCAAAGTAAGAAAGCAGTGAATGTGGGAAGCTTTCCTTCTTCTGTCTACTTTATCTGTCACCAGACTGTACGGGAGATAATGTCACACAGCCTTTACGTTTGTTCAACCTTCGCTGGCCACTGGAGCATTCCCATTGGAGAAAAGCCCTGTTTATGGAAAGAATATGACAAGGACTAGAAAGGAACTTTGTGAAAGTTATGGGATAGCTGTTGAACAGATTCCAATCTCCTGCAATGTTTTCAATTTATGCGTAAGAGAAACCCTGCAAATCTAAGTGTTAAGAGACATTGTTTATTCTTCATATATCAGAGAGTTTGTTTTGTTGAGAAACCATATATATATGTGACACACCTCCTTCAACAAGGCCACATCTCCTAATCCTTCCTAAACAGTCCACCGACTGAGAACCAAGCGTTTAAATATATGTATGAGCCTGGGGGTCCATTTGTACTCAAACCACAACAGTAGTGGACAGTAGCCTTCAACCAGGAGCCAGATTAAACGTTCCTTAAAGATGCTCATGTACATTATCACAGCAATTGGAAAAGTTACTAATAAAAATAATAAAAGTGTCCATTCGACATTTGATATGTATGTATCAGAGTGTTTTCTTCCTACTCCCCTTTAGTTCTGCTTTGCCCCCTTATTACCCTATTCTCTTTCTAAACTGTTTTCTGCTTATACACACACACACACACACACACACACACACACACACACACACACACACACACACACACAGAGCCATGCACAGACACAGATGTAGTATCAGTACAGCTTTATGTATAATGATTATTCATTATGTATAATGAATAGCACAGACATGTTTCAATGTTTCCATGTCTCTGCTATTAGTTACTATAATAATTGTAGTATTTCAGTGTTAATATCTTTCATTCAGTTTGAATTTATTTTTGTGTAGGGTAAGCAAAGTGGATCTAATTTCATTCTTCCTTTGGGAAGAATTTGGATATCTAATTTTGCTAGCAGTATTTGTTGAAAAGGCTGTCTATATTTTTGGAAATTTTGTCAAATGTTATGTGTCCTTTACCTCAATGTTTTCTGTCTGGGTGGTAGTTTGCATTCCATTATTTACATGTTTGTTTTATATGAGTGCCATGTAGTCTTCATCACCAAGGCTATGTAGCATAGTTTGAAGTTGAGTAATATGATACATTTGACTCTTCTTTCTTCATAAATTGCTTGTGTGTGGTCATTTTTGTTTCCATGTAAGTTGTGTGTTTTTCTAGTTCTTTGTCACTGAGATTTTGCTGTGGATTGCATTGAATGTGTAGGTTGCTTTCATTACACTAGGTGCTTTCACAAAATGGGCTCTGCAAATCCCAGAACATGTGATGTCTTTCTGTCTTATAATGCCTTCCTCTAAGTGATGCTTTTTGATATTTTCAAATTTTGCTTGTAGAAGCCCTTCACCTCTTTGGTTAGAGTCATTCCCAAATATATTTCCTTAAAAACAAAACAAAACAAACAAACAAAAAGACTATGGTGACTAGGTGCTATTTTTCCTAATTACTTTCTTTGCAAGTATCTTGTTGTTGTATATAAAGGCTAATGATGTTTTATGTTGATTCTGTGAACAGCTATTTTATTGATAGTATTTATCTTTGTCTTAGGGTTTTCGTTGCTGTGATAAACCACCATGACCAAAAGCAAGCTGGGGAGGGAAGGGCTCATTTTGTTCTATAATTCCAGGTAACAATCCATGACTGAGTGAAGTTAGGGTAGGAGATCAGGTGGGGCTGGAACCTGGAGGCAGGAACTGTGGAGAAGCTTTGGAGGAGGTGCTGCTTGCTGGTTCCCTCTCTACGGCTTGTTCATCCTGCTTTCTTACAGCACCCAGGACCTCCAGACCCGTTGTGGCACCACCCACAATGAGCTGGGCCCTCCAGTGTCAATCATCAGTCAGGAAAGTGTATCACAGGCTTGCCAACAGGTCAGTCTGGTAGGGGCATTTTCTCAGTTGAGGTTCCCTCTTCCAAAATGACTCTAACTTGTGTCAAGATGACATAAAACTAGTCAGCACCATTATATTTAGAAGTCTTTGGTGGAGTATACAAGAAGATCTTTTAGAGTACATTCGTGTCATCTGTAAACTGGCATAGTTGAATTTCTTCCTTTCTAATTTTTCCCTTTGCCTATTTCTATTTTCATCTTTCTTTAGTTAAGAATTTCATTATAGTATTGAAAATGTAGAGATATTAGGAACCTTTGTCTCATACTAGAGTTTTCATTTTTCTTCATTTATTGACGGTTACCAATAGTTTTATCATCCATAGCTTTTTGAAGTTCGTCAAGTGACTTTTCTACAAGAGATGATTTCTGTTGGTCTCCTTTATGGTGTATTATATATTGATTTGCATATATTGAGCCAGCCTTCCATAAGGGGGTGGTGCCAAACATAAGATAAAGTTTGACTATAGTTAATTTTCTCTAAAAAAGTCTATATTAATTAGAGCTATTTGTCGTGTGTGTGTGTGTGTGTGTGTGTGTGTGTGTACTTGGAATAATAGTGTTACAGTGGCTCCTTAGAATGAGTTTGGTAGTGTGCATCTTTTTCTATTTTGTGGAAGGGTTTGAAAAGTGTTGATACTAAACTTTCTTTGAAAGTTTTAATTACTGCTTCAATCTCCTTAGTGCGAGGGGTCTGTTTAGGATGTTTATATCTTCTGGTTTTATTTTCACAGGGCCATAAGTACTTATAAACATAGCTGTTTCTTCTAAACATTTCTGATGTTTTTGGAATATAGGTTTCAGAGTATCCCATGATCATCTCTTTGCTCTGATTTGTTTGGCTAGCGGATGGATACTGCAGAAACTATCATGTGACCTTTAGTAAAGGACCACTCTTTGCTTAATTCTATATGTTGTTCTTCAGTCTCTAACTTATGAATTATGCCTTGGTTTTTTATTATTTTTATTGATCACTATTTCTTGTTAACATCTGTATTTCTGTTTGGCTTCTTTTTCACCTTGGAGTTGCATCTTAGATTTTTTTTTATTTGAGACCTCTTTGCTATTTCAGTTAAGAACTTCTCAGTATAACTGTTCCACTTAGAACTGATTTTCTAATCCTTCAGTGCCACTGCTCATTCAAAGGTGTATCGTTTAGTCACCAATTATTTGTGCATTTTCTTAGGTTAGTCTTTTTATTCCTTTCTAGTTTCAGTACAGTGTGTTTTGATAGGATGCACAAGATTATTTCTTTTTTTCAATTTATAGTGAATTGGTTTGTGGCATGAAATGTGGTCCATTTTAGAGAAGATATCTTATGCCAGTGAGCAAAATATGTATTCCTTATCTGTTGTGTGTCATGTTCTGTAGTTATCTTTTAAACTCAGCTGATACCTTGGAGGATCCTTTGCACCTTGTTTGGAGGACCTATCTAGGATGTGAGAATGCAATGTTGAAGTGTCCTGTTTTTATTTTCTCTGAACTGTTTGTTCTTCATGTCTTTTAATGTTATCTAGGTGGAATTGAGAACCTATTGATTTTGTGTAGAAACATTTGCATTAGTTATGTCCATTTTTATGTACGTGTAGTGACTTCATTTCTTCTGATTAGTTTTTGTTTGTCATCTCTATCAGTTCAGATTATTTTAACCAGGTTTTTGTAGCTTCATTTGCTTTATGGTTTGATGATCTGGTCCAACAGATCATACTTCAGTGATGGGGTATTGAGAGAGAGGACCAAGAGATCAGAAAATGCAGAGGAATGAAAATTGAGAAGATTGGGATGGCTGAAGAAACTCTATTTTATCCTAGGCAGGTACCTCCTAGACATTTGTCTCTGGAGGATAAGTTCCCAGTAACCGCACACACAACAAATGTACAGCCAGACTATCTGCACGTTATGATATGACGGACTGCTTTTTGGCTTCTGTGACCTGCTTATGCAGACATTCGAGGACAGATTTGAGGTGACTTTGACTACCTAACCTTGGCAGAACAGAACAGCTCTTTGGCTGCTTGTGCAGCTGCTTAAGGTCTTCTTGTGGTTTTTGCCTTTAAAAGTCCTTCCTTTATACCCACCCCACCCCCCTTTCAGATGGCATCTCAAGTTTGGCTCAATGAGTATTGTTCTGCTAGCAGCTTTAATAAATTTAATTAATTTTATAATCCAGATCAGGTCTATGGTCTTTTCCCAGGAGTCACAAACTCCGTAACAAAGGTAAGAAAGTTTGAGGTCAGAAGGTCTTGCACAAGCTATACCTTATTCCAAACAAGCTTATTAAGAAGTACAGCATTTTATACAGTCTTATGGAGGCTAGACTGACAAAGTCAGCAAAAACTATCATACAGTGGGACCAAGTCAGCAGGAAGCTAATCAAACCACGTGGCACAAAGGGAACACACAGTATCTCAAGAATATTACAGACTGAGCACACAGCAGCCTTGGGACTGATAGCCATTCCCTGTGGGGAGTGTTGATGTCTCAGGATCTGAAGCCACAACTCTCGCAAGGTCCTGGCACCAAGCTTTTCCAAGCCTATTTCTGGTCTTGGAGAAGGAGCTGTGTTCCTTCTCTGTACACCAAGTTCTTAGGGAAAAGCTCCCCAGGCCCTGGCTCTGGGCCATTACTGGCTCTGCTAAGCATGTGCCTGGTTTTGAGAAGGCCAGGGCCTTTTCCATATTTGCGGCCCCTCAGTTATTCAGATTAGCCCCCCACAGTTTGATTTTCCAGGATTTAGCTCTATTTGTGGGTCTCTTTACTAGCTGTTTTTCTTTTGAACTCAGTACATTAATCTCATTTATTGGGTTTGGTAAGTCCACTTGCATTCAGGGTTGGTTATAACTCAGAAGGGTTGACTTTTGAATAGGATTTCACTTTTTCCCCATGGGTGGCTTCTCTCCACATTGATTCCTTTCCACATTGGCAGTCTTGGATTATGCTAGAGAAAAGTAGAGATGCCTGTAGGTTAATGAAAACTGTTCCAGTACTGACATATATCTTGTTTATTTGATAGTTGGCCTTTGATTAATAGGAAATTTCTCATTAAATACTGTGCTGGATGGTTTTATGACACAGGCTAGAGTCATCAGAGGAAGGAGCCCCAGTTGAGAAAATGTCTCCATAAGATTGGGCTGTAGGCAAGACTGTAGGGCATCTTTTTAATTAGTGATTGATGAGGGAGGCCCAGCCTATTGTGGGTGGGGCCATCGCTGGGCTGGTAGTCCTGGGTTCTCTAAGAGAGTAGACTGAGCAAGCCATGAGGAGCAAGCCAATAAACAGTACTCCTCTGTGGCCTCTGTATCAATTCCTGCCTCCAGGTTTCTGCCATATTTGAGTTCCTGTCCTTCAGTGATGGATTACACTGTGGCAGTGTAAGACCAATACACCCTTTTCTCTCTGACTTGCTGTTGGTCATGGTGTTTCATCATAGTAATAGAAACCCTAACTATGGTACTATAAAATATATGTCTTCAATTTTCTCTCCTGTTCCTTATTGTGGGTTGGTGTATTTGTTTGTGTTCAATGGTGGCATTTCTCCATGAGGCACTGGGAAAAGAGCAAAATGAATGAGATCTAGATCTGTGCACAATGACCGTAAACTGGAGCTCCCAGTAGGAATAACACCTACAGCTGTGTTCGATATCTGTTCAACAAGAAACATCACAAATACCATTATGCTTTGGTAGCTAGGTGTGGTGGAGTTGGCTTATAATCCCAGCACTTAGGCAGTAGAAGAGCCAAGGTTAGATGTTCAGGGTTATCTTCAGCTACACAGGAAGTGTGAAATCCATTTGTACTGTATGACACTCAGTATCAAACTAGAAAAGAGATTATAACTCTTAATGGGACATGTATTGAATTATTTATTTTTACTGATTTTATATTGCAGCATTCCTAGTTCAAAACTCTATAAAATATGTCCCCCTTCATGGATGGGGTGTCTTTGTTTATATGTGAACAAATGAATTTATGTGCTGTATGTACACTGGACTATAATGTGATTACCTAAGCCAGTTGCCCATAGGGTGATGGAGGTGTGAGTGTGTCTACCTTTTTTTTTTTTCCTTTTAAGATTTGTCTTAATTTTATGTGTAAGATTATTTGGCTTGCATGTTTGTCTGCACCGTGTGAACACTTTGCCTCCAGAAGCCACAGTGGGCTTTGGATCCTCAGGAACTGGAGTTACAGGTGACTGTTAGCTTCCATGTTGGTGTTAGAACATGGGTGCTCTTGGCCACTGGCCCATCTCTAACTTCTTACATGTGTGGCCCAAGCTGGCCTTGGCTCCTGGTCTTTGGGCCCCCACCTCTTTAGCCCACCATAACAGTGAGCATTATTACAAATGGATATTTCTTTTTCAGCTCCTTTTAAAAAATACTATTTCTTTTATCTTTTGAGATTATGATTACATCATTTCTCACCTCTTGTTTCTCCCTCCACACTTTTCCATATATTCCTTCTTGCTCTCTTTCAAACTGATGGCCACTCTTCATACACACACACACACACACACACACACACACACACACACACACACACACACAAACTTCTAAGTCTATATTACCTTGTCTGTATTTATGTATTTTCAAGGCTGACAATTTGGTATTGGATAACCAAGTGGTGTGCTCATTCCTGACGAAAACTATTCCTTCTCCTCTTAGCATTCCATAGTTGCCTATCATTCTTTCTGTAGGGTTAAGGCCTCCTGTGTGTTTTCCTATCCATGTTAGCATGTCTGTGGTACCAACTTCTGTTTTAGGATTACTATTCTGTGATGAAACACCATGACCAAAAGCAAGTTAGGGGAGAAAGTGTTTATTTGACTTACATTTCCATATCACTGTTCATCATCAAAGGAAGTCAGAACAGGAACTCAAGTAGAGCAGGAACCTGGAAGCTGGAGCTGATTCAGAAGCCATGGAGGGATACTGCTTACAGACGGATTGCGCAACTTGCTTTCGTATAGAACCTAGGACTACCATTTCAGGGATGGCACTACCTACAATGATCTGGGCCCTCCCCCATTGCTAATTAAGATGTTTTACATGGTTCTAGCAATACTCTACCATCCTGGGACCAACTTGTGTCTTATATCGGATTACTATTTTTATGATAAACCTGACCAAAAGCAAGTTGTGGGATGTATTAGGGTTTTCTAGAGTAACAGAACATAGAGAATGAATCTTTATACATAGAAAGCGGATTTATTTATTAGAATGACTTACAGGCTGCACAGTCCAGCTAATGCAACAGTGATGTGCAGTGAATGAAAAGTCCAAGAATCCAGTATTTGGCTCAGTTCATAAGGCTGGACCTCTCATCTGGTCTTCAGTATATGATGGGATCCTGAAGAAGTAGGCTCCAATGCCAGTGAAGGAATGAATGTGCTAGCAAGGTGAGAGGCACTAGGCAAAGAGCCAAAGCTTCCATCTTCCATGTCTTAATACAGCAGTGCGTTTCAGCCTTCCTGATGTTGCAACCCTTTAATACAGATCCTCAAGTTGTGGTGACTCTCAACCATAAAATTATTTTTGTTGCTACTTCATAATTTTGGTACTATATGAATCATAATGTGACTATCTGTATTTTTCTAAGGGGGTTGCAACCCACAGGTTGAGAACCACTGTTATATAGGCTTCTAGCAGAAAGTGTGGCCCAGATTAAAGGTGTATCTTTCCACCTCAATATCAAGATCAAAGGTGTGTGTATTCCTACCTCAAAGGTCTAGACTAGAAGTGGATCTATCCACTTCAAGCAAAAAAAATTCCTCACAGGTGTAATCCCTCCATTACAGTTAATTCCAGATGTAGTCAAGTTGACAACCACGAATAGTAATCATAGGAATGAAAGTGTTTATTTGGTTTACATATCCTGGATTACTGTCCATTGGAGGAAGCCAGGGCAGGAACTCAAACAGTAGAACTTTGGAGGCTGGAGCTGATGCAGAGTCCAAGGAGGGCTTCTTCTTACTGGTTTGCTCTCCAGGACTTGCTCAGACTGCTTTCTTAGAGAACCCAGGACCATCAGCCCAGGGGTGGTACCAGCCACAATGGCCTGGTCCTTCCCACATCAATTATGTATTGAGAAAATACCCTCCAGGCATGCCTACAGCCTGATCTTTACAGATCCACTTTCTCACTTGAGGCCTACTCTGATGACTTTAGCTTGTGTCAAGTTGAAAAAAAAAAACCAAAAACTTGTGGTAATAAAACAGAGCAAAACCACCTTCTGATCTGGGAAATAATTTCATTGTGAATCGGTGTCCATGGCATAAAAATGAACATTTTCCTCTCGTGGGGTTATAGTTGAGCCTCAGACATTACCAGTACAGGGATAAACACAACTGAGATGAACTGTGTAACTGTGGGAACACCCTGGTGTCAATCTAGCCTCTTTGATCTTCTCAGGACTGTATTTCTGATGCCTTTGTACTAAAGGAAGAATCATTTCTGTGTTCTGAGATGGGGAAGTGGTGGGAAGCTCAAGAAAAAAAAATACCCATTAAATACTGTCACACAGGAGCAATGGCAAGAACAGAAAAAAAGACAGTGGTCAGTTCCCACACCGCACTGATATCAACGCTGATTTTCCTCAAGAGGAGCAGAGAGCTCAGAGAATGCCCGGTGGTGAATACTTGCCTGGGTTTGAGAAAGACTGGAGAGAAGTGGGTGAAGCTCTGGTACAGCTCCTACAACATTAAATTGTTTACCCAGGTAAATGGATAAAAATGTGGACAAGGGACCCACGACCGTTGAAAAGAGTCTCAAAGGGATTCTGGGGCTTATCTGTAGGTGTAATAAGAGATACATGTTTCCTGGCCCATGCTCCAAACTGAGTTCCAGTGTACACACTAAAACCTTTTTTTTTTTAATTTGTAGTTATTAGGTATTAAACCAAGGCCTCTTTCGTTCTATGCAAATGCTTTATCGGTAAGTAACCCCGTCTCTATTCCTACTTTGTGATTTGGGACATAGGCTTGTGATCCTTCTGTCTCAAGACCCAGAGTAGCTCAGATTACAGAACATTTCCAGGAAACTTGGGTTCAAAAACAATTCTAAAAAGAATTTGTGGTGTGTCCCAACTTAGCTTCTTGCTCCGCTTTTTTGAAGTAAAATTGAGTCAATGTGATTTTTTCCTCTTGCCATAAGATTCTATGTACACCTGAGCTTTTAAAGTCAGGACACATTGATTAGAGCCAGAAGTAAGCCCAATACTCTTTGTCGTCAAAAGCTGGACTCACATCCCCTCAACGCCCTTTGCAAATCTGTAAATCTGGGATTTTTAAAGCAGCTTAATTCCAGTTAGAGTCCCTGGGTAATCAACTGTACATCTCACTCTCTTAGGTGCGGGGCAGTCCTTCGCATAGGCTTGTGGGAAATGTAGTCTCTCATCATGAGAGACAGGACTCTGCTGTCTGTGCTTCCGGGTTCATTCTGCATTTTTGTTTCTCCAAACTCTGCATCTTTCTCAAAGTTGGGAGAGTGCGGCTTGTGCTCGGCGTTCGACATGGAGGTTGGTCAAGGGTGCAGCGTAGCCTTGCGGGCCCGAGGGCCGGTGCGGGGTGGGCAGGTCCGGTCTGCAGGGAGCGGAGGTGGGGTGGGTGGGAGGCGGGGAGAAGCTGACTAGGAAGAGCCGTGTTGACACCGGCTTGGCCGGGGTGCTGGGGAGGGATGGGGAGAGGGCGTGCGGATGGTGCCGGGAGTGAATGCTCCGTTAGGACCGGGAGGCTGCCTGAGTACGTCAGTCTTGTGCTTCAGGGACGGGAGAGCTGGCCTCCTAGTGCAAGAGCGGAGAACGTGGAAGGTCCAGGGTTGCTAGAGCTGGGTGGCTTGGTCGACTGCTTGTGCCCGAGATGGTGGTGGGAGCTCACATTCCTGCTTGGCTGGGGAAGCATGCTGTTTTTACCTCTCACACTGCGCTTGTCAGACTTCTCAGGACGTCTAGAGCAAGTGGGGTTTTTCTGGTCCCTCCTTGTACTCTACAGCCGCCCGAAGAATCTTCGAGTTGACAAAAGTTCATAAAGCCCATAGTTCCCGAGACAGAGAGTTCTGCGAGAGAGTTTGGTTATGGGATGTTAGTCTCATTTTTTTTCCCCCCCCCCGGAATAAATTGTTATTTTTTAGGATGGCTCACTTTGGGTAGAGATCTCTTATGTGTACCCTCCTTGACCTGAATCCTCACACTCACACACATATGAGGCCGAAAAATCCCATAAAGGGGACACTCTAAGCTTTGCACGTTCCAACGACCCTACATTGCAGAGTGAAAAATACGAGAAAACATTACCACATCCAATTGCACCAGAGATTGCGATGTCAGAACTTTAGACTCCTTTTTTTTTTTTTTTTTTTTTTTTTTTTTTTTTTTT